ATTCAGCCAGTTATATACCCTCCTCCCAGCACCCAGGCTGCATCCAGAGCTGGTGACATTGCATGGTTGCCCCTCATTGGCTAGACATGATCAGGACCTCTGACAGCACCTGTTGCTAGGCCCTCAGGCAGACTCATCTCTTGGCCTCATAGGTCTTCTCTTCCTACAGGGATACTTGGCTCTCCATGCAAAGGAAGCCTGTCTGGGAAGAGCCCTGCTATAATGATGCCCCAAAGTGCTCATTACTAGTATTTGAGCATTTGCTAACTGTTAGTAAATTACACGTTTTGCAACTCTGTGGGTTTGGTATCCCGGGTTTTGGCACCAAAATGTTAATAAATTGCACCGAAAATGTTAGTAAATTGATGGCTGAAACTGCAAGGAGACAGTTCAGCCCTCGAGGGTGAGGTATCTCAGAACAACAGCTCTACCCTGAAGGTATCCCAGACACCTGGAGCTGTGTATCACAGCTGTGATGGCTGAAACTGCAAGGAGACAGTTCAGCCCTGGAGGACAATTTTTCTGACTTCTTGGGAGAGTCAAGTGTGGAACTATTTCAGCAGGGAAGGGTATCCTGACTCTTCGGGAAAGTCACAATATACCTGGTGTGATGGGGGATGGTCTCCCCATAGAACACAGCAATCCTGCTCCTCTCCTGGAGAGCCGCAATCTCCAGCTCAGTGTTACCAGCTCTCTCATGCTCAATCCACTATGGGATGTCTTAGCAAGGTTCTTCTGTTCAGCTCCCCTCTTGCTCAGTACACTATGGGATGCCCCAGCAAGGTTCTTCTGTGTACCAGTGAATGAAGGTCTTCACCCAAAACTCTTTTGAGAAAGAGATTTATTTGGGAAGGAGGAGTCCAGGAGAGTAGTTGCCTCTACCAGGGTGGAGAGAACAGCTCACAACTGATCAGACAGGGCAGTTTATATAGGATGTCTAGGGGGCAGAGTCAACTGTGATTGGCTAGGTTTTTTTCTGTCCAGGGATTTGCTAGTTTTGTGGGCAAGGGGCAGAGATAGCCCTGATTTCAGGGTCAAACTGTGTTTCTTTCACTGGCCTTACTTAGCTTTTTGACACTACCTCTAAGGCCAGGGCACATTTCTTCCATTGACTCTGATTCTAGGGGGCCAAGAGTGTTTCTTTGGTACTGGTTTCAGAGTCAGGGCATGTTTCCTTAGTTCATTTCTCTGGCTCAAGTACCAAACATAGGCTGTGTTTCCTTCCCTGGTCCTGGGCCCTAGGGCCAGGATTCTACTGTCCTGATCTGTGATTGGTTGATTTCACAAGTCAGTTGGACAGGGGCAGAGATGGCTGTGAAGGCAGGCACTCTATTACTTCATTTCATAATCAATACAGGGTAGAGCCCCATCATTGTTCACTGGTGAACAAGTCAGGAAATGAAATGAGGCAGTTCAGAGGGGGTGAGGGAGCTATAGAGTTCACACAGCAAAGTCGTGGTCTCCTGCAGGGTAGTGGCAGCTTCTGAGGCCTCTTGGCATCACAGAACCAAGAAGGGAGTCTGTCAGGAACTGGGAGCTTCTAAGATGGAAGGGAGACAATGCAACATCTGGCTCCTGTCAGACTGTTTAAGCCTCTGGGCTGGCAGCCAGATGTGGCCATGGACTGCAACATGGAAGCTATCAGAGGCTCAGTGGTGTTCCAGGAGGGTGTGGATGTGGCCATCGGGAGGAAACACCCAGCCACATAGAAGACCTGGGTCTAAGGAAGAATGGTCATCACCAGAGTTCATTTCTCCAGGACCTTCAAGTCACCAGGGAGGCTCCAACAATGTTTTCTGAACCACTGACATCCTGACATCTCCCAGAAACACCCTTACTCTACTGAGGATACCAAAAGAGAATGGTACCCAGTAAGGTACCTAGAGAACACAGGCCAGGGAAGTATAGCATGTCTCCTGGTGACTTACCAAGGGTTTCTGCTGCTGTGTTGACCACAGAGGACTCAGTTAAATCCCAGTTAGCAGACAGGAGCCACACGGGACCCTCAGAAAATGGTTCTGCCTCTTCGGCCAACCTGGGGTTCTTGGGAAATTCAGTTTTTCCTTACCTGACTTCCTTGCCATGACCCTGCCTCGGGGGTTTCCTCTTCCCAAATCCTTGTATGTGACCTATAGTCCCCAAAGCTGACAGTGGCTATGCTGTATCACTCCAGGACTTCCTTCCCCTTTGGTCAGGCCTAGAGGGTGGTCTGGAGAAAGAAGTTTAAGGGTCCTCTATTTCTGAGGTAGGCAGATAGCTCTGGTTCTCTGTGTCTCCATTTCCTTCTCTGTGAAATGGGGACAATGGCATTATTTATTGCTATGGTTGAAAAGGGAAATGTTTGGACACTTAGTCTCAAGATGTCTGGGGAGAGTATGGAACCTTAAGGGGATGAAGCTTAATTGGAAGAAGTTGTTGGGGGAGGGGGTCACAGGTAGTTAGTTTTATGTCAACTTGACATCAGCTAGAGAGTCATTTGGAAAGAGGGAAGAGGGAACCTCAACTGAGAAAATGTTCTTACCAGATTTTCTTGTTACAAGCCTGTGCTGCATTTTATTTAGTGATTAATGTGGGAGAATCCAACCCATTGTGTGTGGTGCCACCCCTGGGCAGGTGGTCCTGGGTTCTATAAGAAAGCAGGTGGAGAAAGCCATTATGAACAAGCCAGTAAGCAGCGTTCCTCCATAGCCTCTGCATCAGCTCCTACCTTCAGGTTCCTACCCTAAGTTCTTGCCCTGGCATCCCTGGATGATGAACTACAAGTTGTAAAATGAAATAAACCTCTTCCTCCCCAAGTTGCTTTAGGTCATGATGTTTTACCACAGCATAGAAACCCATCACTAAGACAGCAAGAATTGCTGGGCAGTGGTGGCACACACCTTTAGTCTCAGCACTTGGGAGGCAGAGACAGGAGGATCTCTGTGAGTTTGAGACCAGCCTAGTCTACAGAGTAAGTCCCAGGACATTCAGGGCTACACAGAGGAAACCCTGTCTCAAAAAACCAAAACCAAACAAACAAACAAACAAAGACAGCAAGACTTCTGTGATGTAGTTCAGCCCCATTCCATTGTCAGACTTTGTTTCCTGGTCCATGAAACACAAGACACAGTGGCCTTGCACTCCCACCACCACACCCTCCCCTCCACACCCTCCCCTTCAAGCCCTCCCCTCCACACCCTCCCTTTCAGGATAGACTGTAGCTACTTGAACCCTGAGCTGGAATGCATCCTTTTAGTTGTTTCTGCTAGATACTCTGTCACAGTGATAAATGAGAAAAGAAGCTGACAGCCGCAATCTTAGACTAGGACCGAAATGTTTGAGTGCCGAAAAGGGTGGTGAGGTACAGGAGCTGCTGTAAAGCAAGAGGCACGGACACCAGCTTAACAGGTTGCCAGCTCATTAATAAATATGTTCATGCTGGGCGATGGCAGTGCATGCCTGTATTTCCAGCACTCAGCCAGCAGAGGCAGGCGGATCTCTGTGAGTTTGAGGCCAGCCTGGTCTACAGAGTGACCAGGACAGCCAGGACTACACAGAGAACCCCAGTTTTGAAAAAAAAAAAAAAAAGATAAATAATTAAGTAGGTAAATAAAAATGTTAATTTTATATCAGTTTTTTTTCTCTATTATCTGACCTTGTGAACTGCAGGGATGTAGAAAACAAATGTTCAAAACATGGGAACCTTGGAGTGTCAAGGAGACTGATGGGGAATGAAGTGAGTTTTCCAAATCCCAGAGAGTGGAGATTCCTCAGTTAAAGGCTTTCATGGCCAAGACATAGAATGTAATGAGAATTATGTGAAAATATGTTGGAAAGAAAAGAGTCTAGCCAGGCACAGTGGTATATGTCTGTAATCCCAACATGGACTACAACAGTGAGACACTGTCTCTTTAAAAATAAAAAAGTGAAAGGTGTAAACTTTAGAAAATTTCACATAGGGCTGGGGAAATGGCTGAGCCTTTAAAAGCTCTAGCTGCCCTTCCAGAGGAAACAGGCTCAATTCCCAACAGTTCTCACAGCCATCTGTAACTTCAGTCCCAAAGGATCCAACACCTCTTCTGGCCTCCGTGGGCACCAGGCACACGTGTGGTGCACAGAAACACATGCAATCAAAACAGCCATATACATGAAATAAATTAATATTAAAAATCCACCCACCCAGACTGGAGAGTTGGAGCACCAGTTAGGAACACTCACGGTTCTTGCAGAGGACCCAGGTTCAGTTCTCAGCACCCACATGGTGGCTCACAACCATTTGTAACTCTAGTTCCAGGGGCTCCTGTGCCCTCTTCTGGCTTCCATGGGCACCCGGCACACACGTAGCACCCAGTACACAGACATATGCAGGTAAAACATTCATACACATAAAATAAAAATAAATATTTTTTAAATGTCAACCATATTAAGTCCAGAGATGGCTAGTTGTAGGACTGGCTAGCTCAGCCTCTAATGATGTCAGGGCTCTTACCCAGCTACTGAGCATTTCTCTCAGATACTCGTTCAAGGTCACACTGTGACTGCTGCAACCAAGTACAGCATCACCTCCTAACTGTCCCAAAAAAGGGCAATTCCTTTCTCATGATTCTTATTATACGGCTGGAAATCTGTCTCATAGTGTCTGCAGATCTTGCCTTACATCCCATTTTCTCTTTTTTTTTTTTTTTTTTTGGTTTTTCGAGACAGGGTCTCTCTGTGTAGCTTTGTGCCTCTCCTGGAACTCACTTGGTAGTCCAGGCTGGCCTCGAACTCACAGAGATCCGCCTGGCTCTGCCTCTCGAGTGCTGGGATTAAAGGCGTGTGCCACCACCGCCCGGCACATCCCATTTTCTAAAATTGGGTTTCACATCTGTTCCCTGTTGGCAAAGAAAACTGGAGCCTATCTTAACATTCTTTCTAGCCTATGAGAGCCTGACTTTGCCAGGACAATGGTGGTAGATCACGGGTGGCTTACCTGTGCAGAATAAAAAATGTCTCAAAACATATCTCTCCCCTACCCACAGGTCAGAGGGACCTCAGCTCCTAAACACCGTACAAGCCAGTGTACAGCCAGAAAACAAGAACGTTGAACCTAAGGCTAGAGGAACCAGAGGTGTGGACACCACTTCAGAGGTAGCCCAGCAGTCGGACACCAGCTTAAGGAGCAGAGACACAGATGAAGGTCAGTCCCCACATGCCCAGCCTGCTGCTAGGCCCATGCCTCATCCCTGCTTGTGAGGGCTCAAGTATCAGACAAAACCCCACCCTGCTACTCAGGCTGGCTTGTAGCACCCTGAACGGCTTGTCTTGTGGTGTCTTCACGAGAACCCGAACCTTGGAAATCAGGGCAGCTCACCTGCACAGTGTGCCAGGGACTGGGTCTCCATCCCACACTCCAAGGCCCAGAGCCCTTCTACCTACCCCTGCCTTGGGCACCAGGACAATGCAGAGGAGGAATCAAGGGAGGGACATATACTGTCACTATTAGGAACATTGTCATGAGAAGTCCTTGCAGTGGTTCTGGGTGGCCCAACCAGACAGTGGAGCCCTGAGGAACCATGGGTGATGGCAGGAGGGGGTAATAGATGTCCAGAGCCAGGGACCCCTGATGCCTGTGTCAAGAAGCTTCCAAGGTCCCCCGTGAGGTAAAGTCTCATTTTGGTTTTAAATACTGCTTCAAGCAGGGAAGTCTGAAAGTATCATGTCAGTCGGCATGAACCGCTCAGGCTAGAAGACAAGTATGCGTTCTCAGAAGAGTCTGCAGATTTGGCGCCGCCTCTAATGCCTAGCTGCCCCCTTCCTATCCTGAGATTACTCACTCTCAGTAGGCATGTCCTCCCTGGCTCCACCCCATGTCCAGGCCTCCAAGCCCAGAACTGGAAGACCAGCCCTCATCTGAGTTCATTTTGGCCAAACACTCACTGACCCCCACATTGTTTTCTGAGGGTTGCCAGCTCTTCCAGAACCTTCACTATGCCTCTGATTGGCACAGCCTGATGGGTGCCGAAAAGGGTCAGGCTCTCTAGGAGACTTTGGTCTGCTCCAGGGGACGAGAGTTTTGGCTGGGCAATAGGCCGGGGCAGCTCTCATCACCCACTACAGTCAGGATGAAGTTCATCAAAGCTGTTGGGGACCACAGGCTACATATTGGACACCTCTTCTTCCACAACCCCCCAGAACTGAGAACTGAAAGTCTTCTGACCTGATGCTAACATCCTGCAAAGCCCTTACCCAGTGCCCCAGTCCAGGTGCTTGTCCTGAAGTGGAACTGATGCTCAACCCTGACACCAGACATGCTTCCTCACGTGTCACCTGAGGAAATGGAAGACATGAGGGCTGAAGCTCAGGGATTCCCATGCAATTCCCCAGGGCCCTGGGCCAGTAACGGGAAGGGGACAGTGTCAGCAGTGCCTCACTTCACGCATGTTCCTGAGGAGGGCTGGATGGTGCTCAGGTTGGGTCTCCAGTTCCTAGATGATATGTTTCCCCAGCAGAGGATGAGCAGCTGTTCCGCTCCGTGGAAGGCCAGGCCGCCTCTGAGGAGGAGGAAGAAAGGTTGCAGGAAAAGTCAAGGCCCCCACAGGCCCATGTTGAGGTATCTCTGCTGCAGCCCTCAGACTGTATGAGTAGGTAAGTGTCTGGAGATCCCTGGCCTGGCAGTGGAGACCAGAAACACAGAACCCCCCAGGAAGGCAGCTTTGCCTTGCAGAGCCCTTCACACATGCTTCAACATGAGAAGCTGATGGTTGTAGGATACAGCCATACTTTGGCCCCTGACAACCCCTCCCGGGAGTCATAGCTCAAACGTTGAAAAACATCCCACCAAGCACAAGGATGAAGTGAGAAGATCCTCAAGAGCATAGCCTGTGGGGGAATTCAGTCCCCACCAGCCATCACTCCCTTGGTCACTGTCCCAAGACCTGTTTGTTCCATTTCTGTCACTTTTGAGCTATCCATCACTTCCTACAACACAATTCAAAGCCCTCCCCTCTCCCCAGCCTGGCCCTGGGCTGGTTCTTTCTCAGCTACCCACCAGTGTGGCCCTTGTATCATCTTAAAGGATAATGAAAATGAGCTCGGTACCCATGGGTATCCCAAATTGCCTGGTTTTTCTGGGCTGCGGTCTCCTCGTCTTGAAGGCGGGTCTGTAACGCTGTCTTCGAGGAGGACATGAGGTCAGGATGTAAGATGCCTTCAGGGACAGTACGTTCATTACACTGGAAAGTGCTGTGGCTTTCAGGGGTGGTTGTATCACCCGTTCTTTGTGTCCATACAAAGCACTTAAGTACCTGCTTGTGTGCCAGGCAAAGTTTGAGCCACTGAGACAATCATAAAGAGAAGGCTGCCATGCTGTCCTGGTCCCTCTACTGTAGGAAGTTAGGGCAGAGAGTGTGAAGACAGGGAGGGTGGGAAGAGACCTGGAGGCAATTCTGTCAAGCAATGTAGATGGTGTGAGAAGGGTCCAGGGGGGAACAGCAGGCAGAGACTCTGGGGCAGGCTGAGTGAGGTGGTGGTGGGGGTTGGTTTTAAATGCAGCACTTTTACTCTTCGGGGAAAGGTCAGGAGGCATGACAAAATCCAGTATCAGAGCTTTATTACGGGGAAGGGGGAGTGGGAGTGGGGACAGAAGAGTGCATGGCCAGGCCTGTGGAAGAGACACGTGAGGAGGAGGGAGAGAGAGGGGAGGAGTCTGTAACTGGCTTTTTAAGGATCTCCCTGCATATGCTCATGTGGGCTTATAGAGCTACGCCACACCATGCATGCACAGATTGTGTGGCCATGATGTACAGGGATGACGTAAGACATAAGACCCCTTGCTTAGCTACTCAGCTGCACATGAGCGGTCACAAAGCTGGAGGAGTGGCAGAATCCTAACAGTGGGGGTGTTAGCCAGGTTGTAGGGGACACCTCTGGCAGTCCCTCTGAGAAGCCAAGGAGCTCCAGGAAGATGCTAAGCAGGCAGGCTCCATGACAACATCTGCTTTCAATGCTGTAGCACAGGGACAGCAGGTCCCTGAAGTTCTGGCTTCTCTCTCCTGCAGGTGTGATGGGCAGACAGCTGAGACGCTCAAGACTTCCTTTGGCCACTGTGATGGTGCTGACCACATCTGCACCTTAGAGCTGGAGAACCATGTCACCAGGCTTGGGGATCAGCTGCAGACCCTGGGCTGCAGCGGAAAGACCCTGGGGACACCGGAGAAGGAGGTCAGCAGGGCCTTAAGATCCTAGATCTTACAGCTGGAGGGACTTGCAGTCCCATAGCCACTCAGAGCTGTGAATAGAACTCAGTAGGTGTGGTTTCCTCTCATTTCACTTTATGGGAACTTTTGATAGCCAGTCACAGAATCCCATCCCAGATTAGCTTGGTTACAAAGCAGAAGTTCACAAGAACTGAGGGGGACAGCTGACGGGCTGCAGGCACAACTGTCAGAGCACAAACATGTCATCTCCTGTCTGTGTCTCTGAAACCTCAGCCTTGAGTCATGGACTGAAAAATCTAGGGATCGTCAAGAATGGCGTTTTAACAATTCAGTTTAAAGATCTCAATTGATTTGTGATTTGTGATTTGTGATTCTATTTGTGATTCTAGAATCAGGCAATACTTCAGCATATTGAGTATCTAATGCACACAGAAGGACTAGCTGCATTCCTATAAGGAAGGACAGAGAGGTGACTGATGGATAACAGGAAACACCAGGTTCCTACAGGTCATGTGTTTTGGTAAAGATTAAGGTAGACAAACTATAATTCCAGGCCCATTGGGGAAGTCACCCTTGACTTCTCCAGGGACACATGACAGCCTGGTCCCCCTGTCAAGGTAGAACTCTGTCCTAAGGATCCCCACCCTGCGCTCTGGACTCAGGGTGGAAGCTAAGCCCTGAACAGTGGAAAGTCGTGGGTCAGAGCAGGGCCCACAGTATATGCCAGAGCAGGCTGCCTGGCTTCAGTGCCAACTCTAGTACCTGTGTGATGCTGTGCTTCAGCGTCTCTGTGCCTCGGTTTCCACATTTGTCACAGGGCCACTATGCATGTGTCAAGTGAGTAGATGTGGGTAGTGAGCTCTTGACAGCTCAGCTCTGACTGTCAACGTCTGGAGAAGACCACCCAGGATTCTAGGTTGGTCTGCTGTATTTCGGGCTGTGTTTCCATTCTTACCACAGCGCTGTTCCCTGAGCCCCTGATCCTGATACCCAGGATCTCCCCAGCAGACAGCTGCTGGGAAAGGGCCACCGTCAGATGTGAAGTACGAACTGGCAGTCAGGGATCACCCAAGAAAAGGTGCAGCTGTCACTTTTCTAAGTAAACTTCAAGGTGACAGAGCAGGAAGGCTCCAGAATGGGCCAGTCTCTAGTCCTCTCTGAGGTGGGTGGACCCACAGAGTCTTTTGTACTCCTGCCCAAAGCCAGAGGGAATCATGAGCACCCTGGTAATAAGGGGTGCCTGTCACATGACATGCCTGGTTTAGGGGGTGAGCATCAGACATTTCCTCTGTCATCAACTCTGGGACCCTGGCGGCACTCCTGGCCACACGGCTGTGGAAAGGTGGACAGATGCCTGGAATGTCCTTTCAGCCAGGGCCCTAGGACAAGATGGGACGGGAACTATCCACTAGCCTACAGTATGCTCCTTCTGTGTCAGCCAGTCACATGGATTTCTCCTGGTTGCCACCAACACAGATTCATCAAACAGAAAAGAAACCAAAAAGTAGAAAAGAGAGAATGGAGTTGTTAGACTAGAGAAGTGTGTGTGTCTGCTCACCCTCCTGCTCACCATGCAGTTTGGGGCAGGCACTTAGCTTCTCTGGCCCCAGGGTGGTTTATCTGCATGGCTACCTTACATAAAGGAGGCCAGATTAGGTGATCTCTGCCAAAGTGCCAGGGAGGCCAGCAACCTTGCTAGGGAGCTATGAACAGCCATCGTGGGGAAAGAGCTGTAAGAAACGCACTGAGACCCTTTACCCCAGGCAGAACTGCAGCGGATGGTGGAGACGGAGCATCTGAGGCTGGAGCTGCAGATGGTGGAGACAGAGCGGGTACGACTGTCGCTGCTGGAAGAGAAGCTGGTGGACGTGCTGCAACTCCTGCAGAGGCTCCGGGACCTGGTGGGAACATGGGGGGTCCTGGAGGGAAGCGGGGGGCGGGCCTGGAGGTGAGCTGGGAGACCCAGAGGAAGACATTGGTGAGACGGGCCAAGGCCAGTTTATAGGGGATCCGAGCGCAACACTGGGGAGCCAGGGGAGGCCAGGAGGCTGAGGGGAGCCTGTGGCAGGCCCAGGGCTCTGGTTCCCACAGTCAGCAGGTGCTCCTCAGAATGGAGGCTCCAAGAAGCCACCTAGAGAGGAGAGGATATTCCAGATCATTTTAGGAGTCTGGTGTAACTGTAATTAAAGCCCAGAGCTGGCTATCGAGATGACTCACCAGGCAAAGCCACAGGCCGCCAAAACCTGGCGACCTGAGTTCTATCTCTAGAACCATTGAAAAGGTGAAGAAGAAAACACATAATGTTGACCTCTGACCTCCATACATGTGCCATGGCATACATGCCCACACATATGCATACACATACAATAATAATAAACAAGTAATTTTTAAAGACCAAAGGAGTTTAACCAAGAAAGAATAATGTAGCATCTCTTTTAAACATGGCTGCATGGCTGGGGAGATGGCTCAGTGGTTAAGGGCACTCACTGTGGGTTCCAGGACAGCCAGGGCTATGTAGAGAGACTTTGTCTCAAACAAGCAAAAACAATAACAAAAGAGCACCCACTGCTCTCCAGAGGACCAGGGTTCAATTCCCAGCACCCACATGGCAGCTCACAACCAACTGCAACTCTAATCCCAAGGGATCTACCACCTTGTGGCCTCTGCACTCACCCAGCACACACGGTACACAGACATACAAGTGAGCAAAACGCTATACACATAAAATTAAACAAAATAGTTAAAAAATAAACATGGCTTCAAATTATTAAAGACCAGAAGACTTGGCACAGTGGTGCCTGTAATCGCAGCACTAGAGAGGCTGAGGCAGGAGGATTGCCACAAGTGTGAGTCCAGACTGGCACATTCTACATCAAAAAAATTTTTTTGTTGTTTCTAGCTTGTTTGTTTGTTTGTTGTTTTTCAAGGCAGGGTTTCTCTGTTTAACGGCCCTGGCTGTCCTAAAGCTAGCTTTGTAGACCAGGCTGGCCTCAAACTCTCAGAGATTAGGATCCCAAGTGCTGGGATTAAAGGTGTGCCCCACCACCGCCAGAAGAAAAAAAAATTGTTTTAACTAGCCAGGAATGCTGGCACATACTCAATCCCAGCACTTGGGAGGCAGAGACAGGTGGAGCTCTGAGAGTCCACTTTTGCTGTACATCAGGCTGCCAGGGACATGGGCTGCCCAGGTCTGGCCCCACATCACGTAGCCAGGCAGACAAAGAGCTGGGAATGAGCCTGAGAGCAGCGGAGGTTCAGCCCAGTCCCAGAAGCAATGAGGTGTATAGTGTTTTCTTTGTTTTGGTTTGTTTGCTTCTGAGACAGGTTCTCACTGTATAGCCCAGGCTAGCCTGGAAATCTTGGTCCTGCTTCCACCTCCTGAGTGCTGGGATTGCAGGTGTGGCCCTGGCCCTCTTTCTCTTTGGTCCTTCCTTTCTACACAGCCTCTCATTGCTTAGAAGCCCGCACTAAACAACTTGACTTGAGGTGCAGATGAGCAAATGCTTAAGGACCTTAGTCACCGTTTCGGTCCTGGTCTGTGGTGGAATGGAGCCTGCACACTGCTCCACCCTACCCACTGAGGGTCTCGGAGAAGCCAGTGTGGCCAGCCTTGGGGGTGGAAGGCAGGGAGGGAGTCCAGGGTAAGAAGACAAGATGAGAGGACAGGAAGAGAGGATGGGGCAGGAAGGGAGGATGGGAGCAGGAAGGGAGGGTGGGGGCAGGAAGGGAGGGTGGGGGCAGAAAGGCAGAGTGGGGCAGGAAGGGAGGGTGGGGGCAGGAAGGGAGAGTGGGGCAGGAAGGCAGAGTGGGGCAGGAAGGGAGGGTGGGGCAGGAAGGGAGGATGGGGGCAGGAAGGGAGGGTGGGAGCAGGAAGGGAGGATGGGGGCAGGAAGGGGGGATGGGGGCAGGAAGGGAGGGTGGGACAGGAGGGGAGGGTGGGGGCAGGAAGGGAGGGTGGGGCAGGAGGGGAGGGTGGGGATAGGAGGGAGGATAGGGGCAAGAAGGGAGGATGGGGGCAGAAAGGGAGGGTGGGGGCAGGAAGGGAGGGTGGGGGCAGGAAGGGAGGTGGGGCAGGAAGGGAGGATGGGGGCAGAAAGGGAGGGTGGGGGCAGGAAGGGAGGATGGGGGCAGAAAGGGAGGGTGGGGGCAGGAAGGGAGGGTGGGGCCAGGAAAGGAGGTGGGGCAGGAAGGGAGGATGGGGGCAGAAAGGGAGGATGGGGGCAGAAAGGGAGGATGGGGGCAGGAAGGGAGGATGGGGGCAGGAATGGAGGGTGGGGGCAGAAAGGGAGGGTGGGGGCAGGAAGGGAGGGGGGCAGGTAGGGAGGGTGGAGCAGGAAGGGAGGGTGGGGCAGGAAGGGGTAAAGAGGAACATGGAGAGGGAATGTGGGACCAGCCCCAAGGAACTTCATGGAAGCTTCCAGGAGTCTCTACTCTCCACCTGCTGGGTGGGACATGATCTGATCCAGCCTCTCTCCATCTCTCTTGAAGAACATATCAAAAAGAGCCCTGGGGAAGATTTTGCTGAACGCCCTGGACCGGAATCCCTCACAGGGTAGGCAAGAGTGCCTTGCAGAGAATGGATGGCAGCTGTGGGGTGTCTGGACCAAAACTCCGGCACTGTCTGCAGAACATCCACTCTGATCCCACCCCAATGCCTGCAGGCCACAGTCAAGAAAGACTTCAAAAGCAGACACAACTGTCTGACCAGAACAGAGCTGCAGGGCCGCAGGCAGCTGGGACAACTGGAAGCCACCATGGGCACAGCTGGCAAGGGTGGGGTAGCCCGCTGGCAAGTCAGACTGCACTGCTCACTGAGCCCACGGTGGCCCAGGACCCAGGCAGTGCCTCTGCTTGAAATCCCCCAGCTCTGACAGCTGACCTGTCAGAAGGGAGTCACCTGGCATACAGTCAAGAACCAGCCTGCTAAGTGTCTGGGATTTGCCTAAAGCTCCAGCCCTGTGGCCTCCGCTGCCCAGGCGAAGCTGAGAGCAGCATAACTCCACCAGTGGTGCCCTGCACCTGACCCTGCCTCCCAGGGCCTCCCAGGGAGACTGATAGGTGAGCCTTCACCTGCTGGCAGGATCTTGAAACAGCCCATTGCCAGTGGAGACAAGGAGTATGTAGGACAGTGGTTCTCAACCTTCCTAATGCTGCGACCCTTTAATACAGTTCCTCATGCTGTGGTGACCCCCAACCATAAAATTACTTTGTTGCTACTTCATAACTGTAATTTTGCTACTGTTATGAACTGTAATGTAAATATCTGATATGCAGGGTATCTGATATGTGACCCCTATGAAAATGTTGTTTGACCCCAGGAGTCACGACCCACCAGTTGAGAACTACTGATCTAGGTGTTAAGAAGGAACATAGGGGGCAGGGCTGGGCAGGGCTGGGCAGTGGTATGGGGCAAGTGGTAGGCAAGCCACATGGAAGAGAGAAGTGACTCTGTGGACAAGATAAAGAAATCCACCCTTTTGTTTCTCTCCAGAGGGTACACGTGGCACCTTGGCCATCCTGGACGCCTTGCACCAAGCCTTGGTTGGCTGTGAGCTCCTGCAGAGAAATCCCTCAGCACCAGCAGCCACAGCTCCTACACACACAAACCCCTTCCTCATCTCCTGCTGAGCTCACTGACCCAGCCATGGGCCACCATGGTCTTTCTATCCATCATCAGACCAGCCTTGACCACAACCAGACTTGCCTCCTTGGTGAACCTGACCACCATGGGACTTGCATTGGCAGTCGCTGGACCAACCTTCACAGCCAAACTGACTGCCATCACAGGAGCCTTCTCAGTCATCCTGAGCACCATCAGCCCAGCCTCCCTGGTCAGCCGTCCACTGCTAGGCTGTCTTCCACCGTCTGAACACCCTCCACAAAAGGTTGGACTGTTATCACTTCCTCAGAACTCTGCAGCCAAGGCCCCTTCCAAAACTGGGTGTGTCTGGCAGCTACTCCTTCCTTGGGCCTCTCACATTCTCCCAGAACCCCCACATTGAAACCTTGCAGTTGCTAGATCAGCCTGTACCTGAGGCTGTTGCCCTTATGCTGAGCACAGTACACGGTACATTCCAGAATCTCTGCCCTGCTTGCTCCAGCTGACTGACCTGTGTTATTTGGCCTGCTCAAGAAGGACCAGTTCTGCACCCCGATCAGGCTATATGTGTGCTAGAACTTAGTGTGGACAAATGTGCAAGGAAAAACTCCAGGGGACCAGGCAAAGAGGAACCCACACTTTGGCAAGTCTAACTTTGTGAGCTCTGCTATGACCTCACAGGAAAGATAGAAGAGCTTCTGGGAGGAAGAGGCAATTGACCAGTGTGGAATATAACTAGTGCATCCCGGGTTTTATTTTGCTGTTTTTCTGCTGCCAGGGATGTCCCAGCACTGCCAGAGCTCCCCCGCCAAGCACACCCTGACCTCACTCTGCTCTTTTCAACAAGCTGCCTTTCCACTGGAGCGTGACAGGCACAGGTTTCATTAAAGCCTTGACTAACCTAGAGAAGGAACATTCCCGCAGCCGGATCCCCAGAGCTGGCCTGTCCCAGCCAAGGGAGAGGAAACCAAAGACAAGTTCAGGCCCACCGAAACAGCCGTGATCACAGGGTCTATATTCAGTTCTGTTGTCTTACAGTCTTTGAGGAGGATCTCCCTGTGTTGCTTAGGCTGGTCTCAGACTCCTGGGTTCAAGCAATCCCTCCTGCCTCCCAGGTATCTGGGACAATAGGCTATAGTAGCACACCCAGCTAGCTAATCTTGACATGACAGAACACCTACCCCCCACTGTGGGGCGTTTACCCAACCACCCCCCACAGTTCCCCAGAGTTTTCTTGAGTGCGAGCAGCAGGAAATATTAGATAGAAGGATTTATTGCGGAGAATATCGCGGAGATAAACAGATAGAAAATAAAGGATAGCCTCGAGAGGGCCTGGAACCTATTCCAACCGGCCCTGACTGTCTTTGCCCCAGGGTTTTTATAGAGACACCAAGGGGTGGAGCAAAAGACCTCCTCCCCCAGCACAGCCAAGTGCAGACCATCCCAGACACCTGCACTTAGGCCCGTGGTTTAATTATCCTCTATGCGGACCTGCTGGGTAAAGGCACGAGGAACCCGAGAACGGGCTCCCACACCCCACCACATATACACACTTTTGATTACGACGTCACTAAAGGCTCAGCTCCTGGAATTCCTCACCCAACACATGGAGTTAGCCTTTAGCAGAAGACGATCAAACTGAAGAGACAGTCATCCATGGTTGTATCAGCAAGTCAGGAAGCATCAGACCAGGAATTTGAAACAACTGGTTACCCGGCAGCTCTAATGGAGGAGGCCAGCAACATGCGAGACCAGGTGAGTAACATGCGGAGGATGCATGTTCCATGGAAGAGTCAGGAATTGCTAGGAATCCTACCAACTGAGCAGAGTGAAGAGCACTCGGTAGGCTCAGAGACAACTGCACAGGATGAGGAAAGACTCCCAGCGCCTAAGGATAAGTCCTACCAACTTCTAAAGATGAACACCAGGGATGAAAAGACTAGGAACAGGGAACAGAAAATGTGAGAACTGTTGGGCAACTACGACATGTATTTAAAAGTGGGGGGGACACAGACAACAGTCCAAACAATATTGACTTTGAATTTCCCAAAATTCCAGTCAGACGCCAAAGCACAGAGCCAGAAGACTCACAAAGCCCAAGCAGAATACATGCAAAACAAACAATAAAAACGGCATCGGAGCCAGGCATGGTGATGCACACCTGTAATCCCATCACTCCGGAGGCTGAGGCAGGAGGATCAGGAGTTTACAGCCAGCCCAAGCTGGACAGTGAGAGCCTGTCTCAAAATGACAACAGGGAGGAAAAAGAGTGAAACGCTGAGGGGGGAGGAAACTAGTATTCGTTGTGTCTTGTAAAATTACCCTTGAGATGGACGGAGTGAAGATTCTCCGGCAAAACTCATTACAGCTTTCCAGAAATAAAGGAAGTTCTTTAGAGAGAAGGGGGATTGTACAGACCAAAAATTTGGGTTTATGTAAAGAAAGAAAAAGCACAAAAGAAAGAATAAGTCAAGGTAGAAAAACAATCCTTTATTTCTCTTATTTTTTTCTTACCTACCAGACAACAGTTTGTCCAAGTTCTGGAGACAATGCATGCATTACATTCAGCTTTTGTGAGTGAAATGCCCAGCACAGACTCCAGGGCAGAGAAGGAACTAGAAATGCTTTGCTACTGTGGAGCCTGGGAAGGAAGCATTACTGCCCATCAAACAGTCTGGTTATTGAAAGTGGACTTGAATTAGTGTAGATGGGTGTTGTGAGTGTTAGGATAAACACTAGGAAAAGAAGGGGGCAGGGATACACTAGGACAAGAGAGAAAGTGACACTACATAAGATACTTAATCAAGACCACAAATGCAAACTAGGAGCCGAAGACAGAGCAAAAGTGGTTAAACGTGAGCAGTCATGGAAGACATCACCCGTGTCAGCAGCACCCCCAAATATTAGTGGTCCCATTACAACAACCAAATGTAGGGATTCTCAGACCAAACGACATGCTGTCTGCAAGAATCCACTTTAGGAGGCTGGAGAGATGGCTCAGCAGATAGGAGCACTTATTGGTCTTGAAGAAGACCCGGGTTCAATTCCCAGCACCCACATAGCCACTCTCAACCTCCTATAACTCCTGTTCCAAATGATCCGATGACCCTCTTTTGACTCTGTGGGTGCGTGTGGTACACAAACATACAGTCAGGCATGTACACATAAAAAATAAACTTAAAAGAAATCCGCTGTAGACATAGACACATGTGGGTTAAAGTGAAGGGTGAAAGAAATTACTCCTGTGCCAACCGTAATCAGAAGAAAGCCTAACTCACTATATTCATTTCAGACAGAGCAGACTTCAAGGCAAGGAAAAGCATCAGGAATGAAAGGGGGCATCACATGCTGTCCAAGGGGTCAGCTCACTAAGAAAATAATGCCTAGCAACACCCCAAACTACCCGAGACAAAAATTAATACAAAACCAGGCATAGTGATGCACACCTTTAATTACAGCACTCAGGAGGCAGAGGCAGACAGATCTCTGAGTTTTAGGCCAGCCTGGGCTACATAGACCTTGTCTCAAAATATATATATTAATAGAAGTTCAAGAAACAGACGGGTCCACTGTTGTAGCTGGTCAACGTACTTCTATAAGACATGGACACATCCAGCGGGTGTGACATTAGTAAAGCTGAACACACCAGAACCATCAACCAAATGGATCCAATGGACACAGACTACTCATCCCACAATGGCACAAATGCATTCTCTCCAAGCTCGGGCAGCGGTCTCCACATTCTGGCCACAAACACTCTCACTAATTAAATTATGGAAGCCATGCAATTCTCTCAAGAGGCAGCAAAATTAAACTTGCAACAGGAAGACAGCTTGGAAATCCATAAATTCTTAGAGATTGAATAACGTATTTCTGCCGGGTGATGGTGGCACACGCCTGTAATCCCAGCACTCGGGAGGCAGAGGCAGGTGGATCTCTGTGAATTCTATAGAGCGAGATCCAGGACAGGCTCCAAAGCTACAGAGAAACCCTGTCTTGAAAAACCAAAAAAAAAAAAAAAAAAAAAAGAATAACGTATTTCTACATTAAATACATATCAAAGAAGAATTCTCTAGAGTAATTTTAAAGCACTTTTAGTGAAATGAAGAAATAAATACCCCATCAGAATATACGGGACACAATGAAAGCAATGCTTCGAGGGAAACGCACAGCGTGGGGATGGATTTATTGCCAAAATGGAAGGTCCAAAATCAGTATTCTTCCACCTCAGGAAGCTATAAAATGAAAAGCAAATTGTAAGACCAACTTGACCAGTATATCCCAAATTGTTCTATAGAACCAATCCAAAGTATACCGATGAAAAGAATAAAAATTAGAGGAGAAATCAGACTCAAAATAGGAAATCAGAAGAGAAAAATCAACAAAGCCAAAGATGGTTGTTGGAAAGATAATGAAAGTGGTTAATAAAAACTTCTTGCAGGGGCTAGAGAGATGGCTCAGCAGTTAGGAGCACTGACTGCTCTTCCAGAGGACCCAGGTTCAATTCCAACACTTACATGGTAGCTCACAACTGTCTCTAATGCCAGTTCCAGGGGATCTGACACCAATGCACATTAAATAAATTATTATTTAAAAACCTTTAAAATATTTATTTTAAAAAAGCTTCTGGCCAGGCTAATCAAAGAATAAAACAGACACAACTTACTAATACCAGCGATGAAAGAGGAATGTCATTACAGGACAGATCTCAACAGCACGAAAGGATTTTAGATGCGACTGTGAATAAGCCTTGTGAGCTAATGAAAGGGACCGATTCCTTGAAAAACACATAAGAGCCACACATGAAGAAACAGACAATCTGATATGTATTAGCTAATATAATTAATAATTAACAAAACAGGAAAATAACAGGCCCAGGACAGGTTCTCCAGTACATTCTACTGCCGAACTGTAAGAAAAGGGCTGTACGAATCATCCAGTCTCTTCCAGGAAACAGAAGCAGGCCTTCTTTGCAGCCCCTTCTGTAAGGCCAGGGTTGCCATCATGCCAAGCAAATATCTCAAACAAAAAAGACAGAGCGAAATGCCTCATATGTACAGGTACAAAAATCTTCAGCAAAATATGAGCAAGTCATAGACAACAGTGTGAGCTATTTGCCCTGGTTCAATCTCCATCACACACACACACACACACACACACACACACACACACACACACACACACACACAAAAGAATTGCTCACCTTATCCCAGTGGAACTGACACACTGTCGTATGGGAAGGAGGCTGGAGACCGTGGCCTCTTCAGTGTCCTTACAGAGAGTGGGGCTGATACTCAGTACTTCTTGAGCCTTCAGAGCCTTGCTGGCTTACAGCCTGCCACCTTTTTCCCTCATCCAGTGTGCAGACCACCTTGAACATGGATGGGACCTGAACACATGCCTAATGCTCCTGGCCAAGTACAAAGTCCAGGGGCAAGATGACCCCAGAAGATCGTGGGATTCCAGGGATACAGACCTGGGTCAGGGCCAGCGCATCGGCTGTGAGTGGCAGCAAACAATGTGCTTTGCCTTACATCCACACCTCTATGACAAGGACTCTACCCACTTCACACAGCTCAACAGCAGAGCCCAGCACGCATGACCAAGGGCCAGACTGCACTCACTTGGGCATCCCAAGGACCTTTACAGAGCTCAGGGTCCGAGACACCCTGACAGGGAAGCATAAAGAAAGGTGCTTCATGGGGAGATACACATTGTGCCCACGGAGCTTATGGTTGAGGCCACATCTCCGGAGAACAGCTGTCATGGAAACCTCAATGTCTTCTTGAGTCAAAAACAGTATATGTGAATGATTCCACTCAAACAGAAACTCCCCAACACTTGAACCCAAAAATTGATTTAAAAAAAAAAAAAAGGTTAGTTAGTGGATATTGAGTCCCAGAACCCTGACCCAAAGTTCCCTTTACTTCCTGTGAGTCCATAGGTATCACTATGTACCCAATTAACTCCTTGGTCTGTGCTGCTCAATAAAACTGCTGTTTTCTTCTTTTTTTAATTGAAAAACATTTAACATTTAAATAGGCCATTTAATTTTTAATCCATATTAACAAGGTTTTCCATGTAGGTGTGATAATATAACTTATAGCCAAATATTAATTCATATTTTTTCAATTATTTTACAAAACCATGTATTGCTGAGAACATTCCAGGCCTGAGGCATGGTAAACAAGTAGGGTCAGAATCTCTGTGTAGTCATCAGATGATTAGTGTGGAAGCAGGTGAAATTCAATAACCATCCTCTGTTTGCACATTCATGTTTCTATATTGGTGCAATCAATAATACCAGAAAAGAATGTAGAAAGTCTAAAAAAAACACAAAATCAATACTAATAGCACCAAAATAATTACTTTTATAAATCATCTGATACAGATCAATTGCATATTTAGTAACTTAGAAAAATAAAGTCAGTGTTCCTATTTTTTCATATACAAAAGCAAAGTAATGGTTGGAGTGTATGCAATTTATACTAAATATATCTTAGAAAAGAATATAAATGAATTAATCCTTTTCACATGCAATATGTAAATACATTAACTTTTTTTTTTTTTCGAGACAGGGTTTTCTCTGTGTAGCTTTGGAGCCTGTCCTGGATCTCACTTTGTAGACCAGGCTGGACTTGAACTCACAAAGATTTGGCTGGCTCTGCCTTCCGAGTGCTGGGATTAAAGGTGTGCACCACCACCCGCCGGCTTCATTGCATCATTTTATAGTTTCCTTGTATAAACTAATTTTATCAGGTAGCTAAAGTTCTATTAAGTGTTCTAAAATTCCTTTTTAATGTGAAAATCTAGGATTTCCTTGAAAAAAAATTTAGACAATATATTCTAATCATGCTTCTCCTCCTCCCTCAACTCCTCCCAGATCCTTTCTACCTGCCCAACTCCACACCCTTTTTTTCTGTCTTTAAAAAACAATTAAATAAAAGGAAACAAAAAAATCAAGAAACATACAAATCCACAAAAATGCAAAGCAAAAGTACAATATGACAAAAAATGCCAAACAAAGCAATATGAGATTAAAAATCTGCAAAAAACACCATTGAGTTTGTTCTGACCATCTACTGCTGGGCATGGGACCTACCCCGAAATGTGGTTAACATCCCCATTGAGACTCCGTTAGAGAGAATTAAATTTTCCTTTGCAGTCAGGTGTTAATTGCAGATAGCTTCTTGGTTAGGGGTGGGAGCCCTGGTCCACTTCTTCTCTCAGTGCTGGGCCCCCATCTGAAAACTGCTAACTTCTTGATAGAGGCCTTGCAATGATTTGATTGAAGATTTCTTGATCTCAGTGATAGGTACCCTGGTTAGCATAAGTGAAGTCCTAGGTTCCATCCTAGCTTCAAGAGAGAGAGAGAGAAAAAAAAAAAAAGATTATCTTAGCATATCACAACGCCTTTGGCACACTTCCTCCAGAATGAAATCCCTAATTCCTTCCTTTGAAGGTGAGCAAGTGTGGTGGTTGGAAAGAAATGCCCTCCATAGGGAGTGGCACTGTTAGGAGGTGTGGCTTTGTGGGGGTAGGTGTCGCCGTGGAGGTGGGCTTTGTGCGCTCATATGTTCAAGCTATGGCCCAGGGTGACACCGCAGTTCCTTCTCTGCTGCCTGCGGATCAACATGTAGAACCCTCTGCTCCTTCTCCAGCCGCATGTCTACCTGCACGCCACCGTGTCCCACCATGACAATAATGGACTGAACCTCCGAAACTGTAAGCCAGCCCCAATTAAATATTTTCTTTATAGGAGTTGCCGTGGTCATGGTGTCTCTTCACAGCAATAGAAACCCTAAGTAAGACAGCAAGACTGTCAGGTATGAGCCACACCTGACAAGCAGAGTGTGGTGGGAGCGCTAGTGGGAACGCAGACTCAACCCACACGGCATGGTGATACCTTCCTTGCTGTCTCTTGGGCCGCTGTGTCCTGAGTACATCCGGGCAGCCCTGTCCAGAGGGCCATGAGTCATCCTAATCTGTCAATACCAGCAAGGAATGGAGGACGCCAGCCATCAGCTCAGGTGCACATCTCTGGAGCAATCCCACCAGCCCCATCCTTCAGTGGTGACAACCCCAGTTTCAGCCCTGCTGAGATCCTGACTGCAACGTCGAGAACTCTCCAGCTAAAACAAGCATTTCTGACCTACGAAAACCAAGAAAAACAAACAAATGTTACTGTGAAGTTGTGGGGTGGTGTACACAGCAGTAGATAACAAACACATTTCCTGTGGTAAACTCATGCTTCTTTAACTCTGGGGAGGGAGGCCTGACTGTGATCCCTAGTCATGTTAAAAGCATGAAGCCAGCTGAAGGGCATCCATAAGCAGAAAGATACTGGGAGTGGAAGAATGTATGCTGCTCAGCCATGCTTCTAGTTCCCATCAGATACAGCACACCAGGCCAAAGGCTGAGCAGGGATAGGGTTAGGATGCAGGAGACAGGCAGCAGCGAGGCCGGGAGGTAATAAGAGGGGACCACATGTGCACTGAGGCTCCAGACGCCCAGCCCATGCATACCCAGTGTCCTACCACTTAGAAAGCATAATTCAAAGATGAATTTGTTTCACATTTAAAAAACACCCAGAACTTGAGACATCCAGTGTAGGGCCCTTGACCGGAAAGGCAAGGACCATATTGGAAAGCTGGGTGAGGAACAGGGCAGGGCACACAGTGATTCCACACCAGTTCAGAAAAACACACACAAGTGTGTGAGAACAGATGTCCTGTCTTCCCCTTCTTTTCTTTTTCTAGAAGTCCTTCTTTGGAATTTTGGAATTGCCCTAAGTGTCTGTAACTCGTTAAAAATGTTTCCTGGGAAATTCTAGCCAATGTCCTTTCTTCACCTTCTGGCAAGAATACTCTGTTGACCTTAAATTGCTTCCGTCTCCTGATACCCCAGCTAAGTAACTCTGCACTGTCACCACTGGGTGGGGGAGCACACTCCTGGACTGAAGCACAGAGGGCGAGGTCTCCAGATCTCCCAGGCTGAGGTGGTTGTTCAAGTTCAACCCGGGAGGGCCTTCGGGAGCGCACACCATTGTTTTCTGAGAACCTGCTCTAATTCTAACTCACACATGCACGAGCTTGTAAATTTCTACATTTTACTGTTTTGCTTTTTGGGATGGGTCTGCTTTGTAATCCAGGTGGCCACAACTCCAAATCCTCCTGTCTCAGTCCTCTCGAGTTCTGTGATGACAAGTGTCTAGTATAAGCGGTATCCTCTGAATTGAACACATTTCTCTGCAGAGAAAGACAGAGGCCCGTGAGACACAGGGGCATGCAGACATCACACCCCTGAGAAAGCAGAAATGTGAGAGTCTAAGTGGCATCCTTCTCTGGTCTCTGAGTGTGTGATAGCACTCACATCCACACACACGTGTACATACACCAGACATATACCCACATGTATATACACTTGCACATATTTCTATTTTTTAAAAAAACTTAATCTTTGAATTACAATAATCTGTTTAAACTTCACCACCACCTCCACCGCCCCACCCCTGAGCTTCCTCCTCTCTGAATGAAGTAATAAGCCTGCGCGATCAGGGGCCATATCTTTGCAAAGGTTTGAACCAAGTGACCACTGAGGACTCCACTCTTGCATTGCTGACTTTGGCAGTAGCATCCATGGGATGGATGCTAGTGATATTGTTTTGCTCCAAGTGCCTCCTGGTGGACCACGCAGTAAGTAAAAGCACTGTGTTCATTGCCACCAGCTTTAACTACGGCTGCAAATCCAACATTCTCACCCCCGGTCCCTCCAGCACTGGCCAGACCAACACCGATGCTGTGTTTGCACCGTGCACTTCATTCATGAAAAATTCGTCAGCTTCAGGTATTTCTCCCTCCTGTGTGCCTTGCAAACAGCAACAAGACAATAATTCCTTGTGTGTGCCGTAATAGACATATCGCACATAATGTGAGAAACACCAGGTGTTTAGCTAGGCACAGTGATGCTTACCTAGAATCCCAGGACTTCGAGGACGGAGAATCAGAAATTCAAGGTCATCTTTGGCTATGTAACAAGTTCAAGGCCAGCTTAAGCTACATGAGACCTTGTCTCAAAAATTAAATCAAATAACTTGGGGCTGGGAAGACGGCTCAGCGCTCAAGAGCACATGTTGCTGAGCACAGTGCCTAGCACAAGCCATTTATCCCAGCACTCGGGTTCTGTGAGTCCCAGGCCAACCTGGTCTACATGGAGATCTAGGCCAGCCAGGGCCACACAGTGAGACCCTGCCTCAGATAGAAAAGGACAGAGAGAGAGGAGGTGGAGAGGAAGGGGAGGGGAGGGAGGAACAGCATAGCAGACTTGGAGAGGACCTTGGTTCAGTGACCCACAACCACCTGTAACTCCACCTCCAGGGCATCTGACACCCTTTCTGGCCTCCATGGGCACTTGTGCCCATGTGTGCACTTGTTGAACACACACATACACAGATACACATAAATACATCTTTTTGAATGAACAAATGAGTAAATAAAATAAAATAGCCGTTTCATCTAACTGAAGCAGACTTGGAAGTGCCCTTACATCTGGCAATAAGCTGTTGAAAGCAGTTGTTAGTAATTTCGGAAATTCTCTTAGAGACAGCATCATTCAATAAAGGGGGTTTTGTAACGCGTCTTTCTTTGGACTGCCAGCTCCTAAATAATGACGTGGGACTTCTTATTAAGTATGAAAGCTTGGCCTTAATTTAGGCTTGTTCCCAACTGGCTCTTATGGCTCAAATTACCCTACTTCTATTAATCTACATTCTGCCACGTGGCAGATTCTGTGCATCCGACTTGCTCTGTGTTTCGCTGCCATCTCCCTCAAGCACCTGATTCTTCAGTTCCTCTCTCTCTCCCCAGAAATCCCGCCTATTCTC